CCCCCTTCACCTGGGCCCTTCTGTGTTGGGCCCTCCCCCCTTCACCTGGGCCCTTCTGTGTTGGGCTTTCATGGCCTCTCCACTTGACCTGCTTTTCCAGGAGTTTGGAACAAGAGATCTCCTTTGATTTCGGTCCCTCTGGAGAGTTTGCATACCTCTACAGCCAGTGCTACGAGCTCACCACCAATGAGTATATCCTGGCACTGGAGGGGTGGGGTGGGAGCAGAGAGGGACATACAGGGGAGGGCACTGGGCTTCTATCTGGGGTCTCATCACTGAAGGGCAGAGGCAGGAGGGCTCCATCCCTGGCCCCTCTTTAAACTGGGCACAGTGTGCATACATGAGGTAGGTACAAGGAGAGTGATAAGTTCAAGGCCAATCTCAGACACTTCAGCATATTTGAGACTAGCCTAGGCTACATGGAGCTCTGTCTCAAAAAGGAGACACAGGCAGAGTTCAGGGTCAGTGGGCATTAACGTGCCCTTGATCCTGGATATTAAGGAGGTAGAGAAGGGCTGCAAGGCAGGGCGCAGGGCCACTGACCTGGCACTCACCCTTTCCTTCCTGCCCCTAGGTATGTCTACCGACTTTGCCCCTTCAAACTGGTCTCCCAGAAACCCAAACATGGGGGCTCCCCGACCAGCCTGGGGTGAGTGGCTTGAGATGTGCTGCCCTTCTGTCCCCAACCACCCACTGGCCGGCGCTGAGCGCCCCTGCTCTCTCCCGTAGCACATGGGGCTCCTGGGCTGGCCCTGAGCATGACAAGTTCAGTGCGATGAAGTACGAGCAGGGCACGGGCTGCTGGCAGGGCCCCAACCGCTCCACTACAGTGAGTGCCAACCTGTGCTGGGGCTGTGGGGATCCAGGCCTGGACCAACCCAGCCCAGCCCAGGCTGCCTTCTGCTCTGTTCTAATCCCCAGGTGCGCCTGCTGTGTGGCAAAGAGACTGTGGTGACCAGTACCACAGAGCCCAGTCGCTGCGAGTACCTCATGGAGCTAATGACACCAGCAGCTTGCTCAGAGCCACCACCAGAAGCACCCAGTGATGGAGACCATGATGAGCTGTAGCCTGGTGAGGAGGCCAGGTCTCTACCCACCCCAGTGTCCCGATGTTGCTGCTCTCCTGACCATACCCTGACTTTATGTCTTACTGTTTATTTATACTTTAGACAGGGTCTTACTGTGTAGCCTTGGCTGCCCTGGTTCTTGTCATGTAGACCAGGCTGGCTTCAAACTCCCAGAGATCCACCTGCCTCTGCCTCCTATCTGCTAGGATAAAAGGCATGTGCCTGATGGGTCTCTTCTCCATGACCCACTGAGTCATCTTGGCAAGCTCATGCTTGCTTGCTTGCTTTGTTAAACAAACAAACAACATGCATACATACATACATACATACATACATACATACATACATACATGAATACACTGCAGCTGTCTTCAGATACACCAGAAGAGGGCATTGGATCCCATTACAGATGGTTGTGAGCCACCATGTGGTTGCTGAGAATTGAACTCAGAACCTCTAGAAGAGCAGTCAGTGCTCTTAACCGCTGAGCCATCTCTCTAGCCCTGCCAAGTGCTTCTTAAGACAGTTTTGTTACATAGTCCAGGCTTGCCTTGCAGTTGTCAGTCCTGCTTCTACTGTAGCATCATGCCCAGGGTTCGTGGTTCTGAAGACTGAACCCAGGCCTGTTTGCCTGCTAGGCAGTCTTCCTGCAGGCTCTTGCAGTCACTCCATCCCATCCCCTATCTCTGTCTTCACTCCTAGAACCTCAAGGCCTGCAACCAGTCTACTGATCCTGAGGTCTATGGACCAAGGCCTGCCCATCCTGGAGTTCCTGGCCATCCTCCAGGTAGCAGGAACCCCAAGGGGCTCTAAGCCCCACTTCTGGCCCAGGCTAGCCTGAGGCCCCAGCAGCCTCCAGAGATGGATAATGAGCTCACCTACCTTGGATTCCTGAGGGGGAATTAGTCCCTGTACCCACCTGACCCCTGCCTCCCCAGCTGGTGGGTTACTTGACCTGTGACCTCAGAACAATAAATGTGACTCGTCTACATTGTGTCGCCATTTTTAATTTCATTTTTTCTGTTGGTTTCACTATGTAGTCCAAGTTAGCCTTAGATTGTCTCCTGGCCTAGTCTCCCAAGGCATGGGCTAGTAAGCCAGGCTAGACCTGCCTTCATCTGGTGCGGAGAACTGGACACGTGAGCAGACAGCAGATGTGGAGTGCCTGGTAACTGCTGTTAGCCTGACAGGATCTACACTGCCTAGGAGACAAGCCTCTGGCTGTATTTCCGGGATGAAGCCGAGGTCAGGCCTGGTGTAAGCACTCTAACCCCCTAGCTATCTCTGCTTCCTGACTGCGGACACATTGTGGCCACACAGTGCGGCTGGCAGCCTCAGGCTCCTGCCAGATGGACTGGACGCTTGAACTGCATCAGGACCAAATCTGTTCTGTCACATCTACAAAATTAACACTTGGGAAGCAGCCATGTTCAGATCCTGCTGGACCACACAGGCCAGCTGACAGTGAGGATGCCCAGTGCCCACTGATGGGTAGATAGTAGGCTCCTGTTAACTTCCCTTTCTGAGTGGAGGCCATTATTAGAGGCCTAGGGAGAGATGTCACCCTTCCCCAGTGTCCCAGCACTCAGACCCACCACCCTGCCCACAGTGGCACACAGAGCACCTGAGGCTTAAGATTCTGAACTTTTTATTTTCTGGCATGAAAAGTACAAATAGTTAAAGAATCCCATGTAAAAGTCAGTTACCGCAGCCAGGCATGGGGGCTCGGTAAGAAATGTCTAACGCAACTTGAAGTGTTCTTGGGTTCGGGTTGAGGTTTGGTTTTTGTTTTATGTTTTTTTTTTTTTTTCTACAGTTCTTTATATCACCAACATAGACTCTGTCATGGTTTGAAACTTTCCCAATAAACAGGATGAAGGAAGGGTTGGTGGGGCTGAGCCCTCTTCCCACTGGCCCCACCCCTAGCCCCCAGGGACTTTGGAAGACCCAAGGGCCCCTCTCCCTGGGAGCCCCTGGCCTGGCCCTCTTGGGGGACTGGCCTCCAGGGAGGGGGCCTGGCTGGGCTAAGCTTTGTGTCCTAGAAAAAAAGTTCCCTCCTCCCAGTCTTGGAGGCAGCAGGGACCTAGGCCTTGGTGGGAGGGGGTGGGGGGAGGGGCCCCCTCTTCAGAGCCCATCCTCCCCCCAGGGTGGGGGACAAACCCAGCCCTTATTGCTAGGATGCCTCCAGCATGTGTGGAGGGCAGGGGAGACCCCAGAAACAACAGGGAAAGAAGGGGTTGGACCCTCCTGGAGGTGAGGAGTCCCTGTCCCGCTGGGAGGGAGGGGGGATGGGGAGGGCAGACTTAGAAACCACCAGAATAAATAGGTTCGGTGTATCGTGAGCAAGCTAGAGTTCACCAGCTAAATAGACAGAAAAACTTCTCAAGACAATAGCAAAACAATCCCGTTGAGAGCCCCGGGCCCCGCCAGCTGTGGGGACCCCACCCCACCCCTTGGAGCCCATGGCACCCCCGGGGGCACTCCGCTACCATTACTGTTATTAATAATTATTACTTTAATGACTCCACTTCCCCTTTGTATAAATAAATTAGGCATAACCACATCTCAGCAAAACTGAAAGAAAAGGAACAGCTCCTTTCAACTTGCAAACTCATGAAGGAACAGAAATATACACAAAGGTCCTTACAGGCCAACAAGGATAATAAATAGTTAACATAGCAATAAGTTAAAACTACATGAAGCTAAATTCAGCAAAAAAGTACAAGAAAGTTAACTGGTGACAGTTTTTTTTTTCCTTTTTTTTTTTTTATATTCGTTTTTTTTTTTTTTTTTTTCATTTTTTAATTTTTGGTCTTTTTTTAAATTTTTTTTTCTTTTTGTTCCTTGCAGCAGAAACTCCACAGACGGTTAAGAACAACACCAGGAGGGGTGGGGAGAGAGAGTTGGACGCTCAAATGGGGCCGTGGCCAGACACCAAACGCAGAGGACACCGGAAGAAAGCAACTAGAACCTAGAGTGTGTGGGGGGGGGCTTCACGATTCTTGGTTATGACTGGGCCCACTGTGGGGTGGGTTGAAGGTTTGGGGCTCCCAGGGCTCCAGCCTGTGGCTTCTGTTGGAACTTGCATAAAAGAATGAAAAGTCAGGGTGTATGTGTGTGGGGGGGTGGTGGTATGGCTGCAAAATCCATTCAGAAGCCAGGGCCGGGGCTCATGAAGGCTGCATCCAGGGTTCCCCCACAATCCAGAAAAGACAGAAAAAACCCAACAATCAAAAGAGGGCAACAAGTGGGAGGGGTGGGGGACACTTTGGGCCCATCCACCCCAGGTCTGCTGGAGTGTGCTGGGTGCTTGCTTGCGGGTAGGGAGCACTCTGGCCCTACTTGAGGGAGGAGACTGCAGACCTCCCCCTGGACCCAGGGAGGCTGAGCCCCAGGGACGGGGGGGTCCTTTGGCCTCAGTGTTGTGGGTAGTGACAGCCCCCTCCAGCCCACGATGATGCCAAAGTAGAACGAGGTATCGTGTGTTTGGATGTATGGACGCCATGTGTACCCCTGTGTGTTGGGCAGCAGGGAGGCCCCTGGTGGGCTAAGGAGTCTGTGCAGAGAACCCGGGGCTGGGGCTTGTTGGGGGCCCAGGGAGAAGTGGCTGGACCAGCCTGGCTGGAGGAAGTAACTGGGTCAGGGTCTTAAGTAGGAGGAATGCCTTGTCTGGGCCTGTAGGATGATGTGGACATGGGTGTGTGTCCCTGGGTGTTGTATGTTTCTAGGTGACCTATTTGGTTTTGCATTTTGAGACAGGGTCTTATGTAGCCCAGGCTGACCTTAAAACCACTATGTAGCCAAGGCTAGTCTTGATCTGACTCTACCTTTTGAGCACTAAAATGAATGAGGTCTGTGTGCCACACCAGGTTTATGCAGTGCTGGGGAAGAACCCAGGTTTCATGAAAGCTATACAAGTGCTCTACCAACTGAGCTATATCCCCAGCTCTCACTGAGAACTGGAGTCCAGATTCTTACATCCAAATGGATCTATCACAGTGGATTTCACACATCACATGGTTTTGTGGACAAGCAGCCAATGTGTTTATGTTTGTGCAGCGCCAATGTTCTGTCCGTGTGTCTCCGTCCTCTGGTGTGGTCAGCCTTCCTGAATGTATCCTGAAATGTTTCTCTATCTACGTGTTGTGTATCTGTGTCCCCAAGGTCCAAGTGCATTTCCTTCCTGTCTTGTGGCCATGTTTGCTTATGTGTGTGCCTCTGTGTGTGTGTGTGTGTGTTTGTGTGTGTGTGTGTACATGCGCTGCCGGCCCTATGGACTCTCGGCCCTCAGCCCTGCTCCCTGCACCCCTGCCCCAGTAGTTGGTAAACATAACTTGCCAAAATAGTTTCTTTTTTTTTTTTTTTGTCTTTTTTTGTGATTTTTTTTCAAGTTCAAGAATCCCCAGTAAAAATTCTCCACGAGGTCTTTTTCCCTTTTTACAAAAATAGAGTTTTTCTTCCCCTCCCACCCCACCCCACCCTTTTTTTTTCTGCTTCCTGCTCTGCCCCAACTCTGCTCCCTGTTTTCTGCCCAGGGACTGGGGCGGGGGATGGGGATGCCCACACCCCTCTTTCATGTTTTTTGCTGTTTTGGGGATTTTTAAACCTGTTCCCTCCCCTTTTTCTCGGTATAGGACAGGCCTTGGTGGGCAAGGGAGGCCTGGGTAGGGCACCGTTGTGTCCCCTAAGCCATCCCATGCAGGGTGGTGAGGGTGAGGTGGGATGGGGGGTCTCCTCTCTGCTTTCTTCTTTTTGTTTTTAGCCAAAAAAAGAAACAAAAGCCATCACCATGAACCAAACCAAGACGAGAGAGTGAGCCAGCCCCAGCTTGGGGTGAAGAAAACAAGGAGAACAGGGTGGGGGACACCCTCCCCTCAACTCCCTGCAGACCCTCCCCATCCGGATGCTCACCCTGTGGTGTTTTTGCAGGTGTGTGGGTCTGCCTGCTCTTGCGATTGCGCTCTCTCTCTCTCTCTCTCTCTCTCTCTCTCTCTCTCTCTCTCTCTCTGCTGCCCGGGGAGGGAGGGCGTTAAGTGCTCAGGCCTTGTGCTGCTTGCTGGTCTTGAAGGACACCTGCAGCACGCGCTCGCCCAGGCGATACCCGTTGAGGCTGGCGATGGCCATGGCGGCCTCGTCGTAGTTGGTCATGGTGACGAAGCCAAAGCCCTTGCACTTGTTGGTCGTGAAATCTCGGATGACCTTGACATTGGTGACTGCCCCAAAGGGTCCGAAAAGCTGCCACAGCACACTCTCATCAGCTTCTGGAGACAGGTTGTACACGAAGATGCACCAGCCAGCACCTGCAGCTCCTCCGGACAAGCCCACACCTGCCAGGCCACTCATGCCATCGATGGCGATCGGGGAGAACCTGGCGATGAGCGACAGGGGACTACTTTGGGGGTCACGCGGGCTCTGCCCTGATCCCCAGCACGCCTCCGACTTCCCCACTGGGAGAACCCCAACCCTGTGTGCTACATATGTAAGATCCTTGTAGCATCTTAACCTGGTTGTGACCCTGTTCCTGTCTTTGACCCACTGAGACACCAGCCCCTGACCTGCAAACATTCTTAACCTCCAAAGCTCTCCAAATATCACCCATGATCTTAAGTGCCATCTTTATCCTGATCTCGTGACCTTTGATCCTTCCCTAAGGACACCTTTCACTCAGCTTTTTTGTATAGCCAAGTTGGATATATATACGTGTGTGTGTGTGTGTGTGTGTGTGTGTGTGTGTGTGTGTGTGTGTATGAGCTGCTTGCTTGCCATGGTTTCGTTTTTTTCTTTCTTCCTGCCTGCTGAACTTGAACTTGTGCTTCTCTTGATGATATCTCTCAAAAGCTGACACTGCACACCCAGCCTATGACACTGCATTCCCGGCTTACGCAGTGTTGGGATGAAACCCCAAAGTTTTGTGCATGCCAGGCAAACACTCTTCTGACTGAGCTACATCCCCTTCAAAACCAATGGTGTGTGTGTGTGTGTGTGTGTGTGTGTGTGTGTGTGTGTGTGTGTGAGAGAGGGGGGGGCGTGCAGAGAGGAAGATAGAAAGAGACTAAATCTGTACCACATGCTGGCCCCAAACTCAGTTGCAGATCTTGCCACAGCCTCCATGGAGGGTGTGGTCCTAGGGAAAGAACCTAGCACATGCTAGTCCTGCCGTTACAACCCTGACTCCATTTTGACTCACCCAGTGTGAGTGGCAACTGGCCCTACAAGAGCAGAGCAGGGTGTCCTCCATGAGCCCAGCCAGTCCAGCTTTGATGCTAGAGAATGGCATCCTCGTCTGTCTGCCTTTCTGGTCTTTTCTATCCAATCATACACAGAAGCCCCTCCTGACTCAAAACTTTTCTTTCTCCAGTTTCAATTACCTGGGGTTGCCTATGGTTTGAACATATTAAACAAAAATTTCCAGAGACAAACAGTTCATAAATTGGTTTTGTTTCCTTATTTAAGCTTTGTTAAAATTATTTTTTGGTTTTGTTTATTTTGGTTAGGTTTTGTTTATTTTGGTTATTCTAGACAATGCTCCTTTGTGTAGCCTGTCCCAGGACTATGTAGACCAGGCTGGCCTTGAACTCTGAGATCCTCCCTAGTACTAAGATTAAATGTGGGTGGGATGCCCAGTTTGGATTTATTGTTTTTATGTGTCCTTGCCTGCATGTATGTGAAACACATGCATATTTGATGCCTACAGAGGCTAGAGGACAGTGACAGGACCCTTGGGACTAGAGTTACAGATGGCTGTGAGTCACCATGGGGGTGGTAGGAACTGAACCTGGATCCTCTGAAAGAGCAGCCAGGGCTAACATCTCTCCAGCTCATGTTTTGGCTTTTTTGAAGTTGGGTCTCACCACATAGCCTAGGATACCCTCTAACTTGTGATCTTCCTGAATCTGCCTTTGGAGTTATGAAGATCAGAAGGTATACAGCCATCAGGAATTTATAATATAACTTTATTGTAATTATTTGTGTGTGTGTGTTGGGAAGGGAGCACACATACCCTGAAACATGTGGAGCTCAGGACAAGTCTATAGAGATGCTTTTCTCCTTCCACAATTATGTGGCTTCTGGGGATTGAACACAGGTGGCCAGGTTTGTGTGGCAAGCCCTTTACTCTCTGAGCCATCTTGCTGGTCCCCCTTCATAAGTTTAAAGTTGCATGCTGAATGTGGTGACGTGGCTCAGGGCTCCAATCCCAGCTCTTGGAAGGTTGAGTCACAAAACAAATACTTTCGACCCTTGGATCTCTCCCAGCTTCTCTCTGTCTCTGTCTGTCTGTCTGTCTCTCTCTCTCTCTCTCTCTTCCTCTCTCTCTCTCTGATCTGCCTATCTCTGCAATGTGATACCAATCCTGGGTTTACACGGGTGTTGGAGATCTTGTGTCACACTGAGCCATCTCTCCAGCCCTATCCATGCCTCTACTTCACAGGAAGCCAAGCATGGTGATGGATGGCTCAAGTGTGTCATTCCAGCACTTGGCAGACAGAGGCAGGAGGATGAGGAGTTCAATCTCATCTTCATGTATACCTCAAGTTTGAAGTCAGCCTGGGATATATGAGACCCCATATTAAAATAAACCTCAAAATAGAAGAAGAAAAAGGAGGAGGAAGAGGAAGAAAGAAGAAGAGGAGGAGGAGGAAGAAGAGGAGGAGGAGGAAGAAGCAAAAACAGCAGTAGCAAAAGGCCTTGTATGGTAGCACAAGCCTTTCATCCAGCATTCAGGAGGCAGAGATAGGAATTTCTGTGAGTTCAAGTCCAGCCAGATCTGCACAGTAAGACTGTCTAAAAGAAGGGAAGGAGAGGGAGGGGAAGAGAGGGAAGAGGAGGTGGAAGAAAAATAAAGAGGATAATTCAGGAGAACCAGAGAGAAGACTGTGGACTGTTTTAGTGGCATGATGAAACATCACACTGTTTGGAGTGTATTCACGCAGTACATGCTACACGCAGTACACACTACACGCAGTACATGCTACCTTCCCATTAGCACTTAGTTGTTTGACTGTCAGACTACCTAAAATCATAGCTTCTATGCTAAGAAACCCTTATTTTAATTAGTTAATGGTTAATACTGGTGATTTAGAGATGCCTAGAAGAAATTAGTAAAATGTTTCCTTTAAGGAAAAAGTTGAAAATAGATCATATGCTGAGGTCACTAATGCCTAAGGAAAGGACACGTCTATCTGTGAGTGAAGTCATGAACAAGAAGCTGGTCTGGTGGTAGAGGCTTGTCATTAGAAGGTTGAGACAGGAGGATCACAAGCTCAAAATACAAAGTAAAAAGATAAGCTGAACATACCTGCAACCTCACGTTCAGGAGGCAGAGGTAGAGGAGCAGGGGCTCAAGGACACGCTCAGCTCAGGGCTGCTGACCTGCCACACTACATGAGGCCCTGTGCTGGGAAACAAAGAGGGCTGGGCGTGTGCTCTCAGTGCTTACACAAGATGCCTTGAGTCTCCTCTCCAGTACAAATGATGATGTCATCGATACGTCATCATCATCATCATGTAGGCCCATGGCATACACCTTTAATCCCAGCACTCCTGAGGCAGGTGGATCTCTGTGAGTTCCAAGCCAGCCTGCTCTAGAGTGAGTTCCAAGACACCAGGCTACACAGTGAAGCCCTGTCTCATAAACAATTGTATAAATAATCAAGTAGAAATTTAAGTAAATAGACAGGTTTCCATGCCAAGCTCTGTGTCAGGTGTCCACAAGGAGTCTTGGGGATGTGTCCCTGACGGGTAAGGAGGACAGCTGTTTACGTCACCACCACATTCCTGACGCTGTCTCGTGTCAGGTAATGCTTAGTTAGTTGTTTGTGTCTAAATTAAGGACGGAAAGCTACACTCCCCGACTCCCTCACCCTCAGAACTAAGTCACGCAGTGTGGGGAGATGACTCTGAAAGTCTGGACCCCATGTGATCTGACCACAGGGGACTCAGTCCCTCCTGCTGCTAGGTGACCTCCAGGCCTCTCCTGGGTCACCGTCATCCCTTACACTGCCCAGGCACTGCCCTGAGCACCACTCACACATCTCATTCCCGTGAGGCTGAGAAGGAACATCAGCGGCAGGACTGCTACGTGGCCGTCTTTTATTATGTGCCAAGCACTGTGTTCTGTCTCAGTTCATGTTCATGGGGGATCGCGTCTGCCTGGACGCGTCAGCACGGAACCTTTCACAGAGCAGGGCTGTGGGTGAGGCAGGAAGAGCTCAAGGTTCACAGCAACTGTGGGGAGGCCGGGGAGCCTTGCATACAATGAGAAAGCCAATGATGGTAGCTGATGTGCAGGGCTCAGGAAATGGCTCCCGCGCCCCTGCTTAGAATCCCCCAGTGGGGGGAAGGGGTCATGGCTTAGTGCAGACCTACTATGCAGAAGTCCCAGGGTCCTGTTCCTAACACCAAAAACAATTAGTTGCCAGTGGCTCTCAGAGGGTTAATGTGGGAACTAGGGGACACAAATGCCTACTTGTGTTGAGATGATAAAAAAAAGAGATGTGTGAGGGACTGGAGAGGTGGCTCCGCCCATCAGGAACACTGGCTATTCTTCCAAAGGGCATGAGTTCAGTTCCCAGCCCTCCTATGACAGCTAGCACCTGTCTTTAACTTCAGTTCCAGGGCTTCTGACACCTTACACAGACATACATGCAGGCAAAACATCATTGCATAGGAAATAAAAAATAAACAAGTTTTTAAAAAACTCAAAAAATATTAAAAATAAGAAGAAACAGGGAAAGCAACACACAGCCCTCCATGATCCTCTTATAGCTGCTCTCTCTAGACATTTGGTCTGCGTATAGTCTTAGGGCTATCATCTAGACACAGGCAGAAATGGCTACCCAGTGGTCCCAGAGACAAGGTACATGCAGGGGTTAGAGGAGGGCCATGAGGGAAGGGGGCTATGAGGGATGGAGACGGTACAGCAGGGCACTGTTACCTCTTGACTCCGTAGGCCATGTTGAGCAAATTGTCCAGCCTGTGGAGGCAGAAGCAGCTGTCAGAGTGGCCTGTGACCCACCCCCTGTGATGTGACAGCCAGTCCTCCCCACCCCCACAGCCTTCAGCAGGGCCCTGCCCCAGCTGCCTGCTCCCAGCCCGGCTGGACACCGCCTGGCACGGAACCTCGCTCATTTGGGACTGCTTTTCAGTGGCCCTGCTGCCGCCAGGCTGGATGTCCTGGGAGTGCCTCAGAATGACTAGTCTGGATCCTGGGTTCAAGTCTTCTTTTGGGTTTGTACAGTCTCTATCTGGAGTGAAGAATTCTCAGTAAAATGGCTGAGCACAAGCCATTCTACTCGCAGAGAATCTGATCATGGCCAGGGCTCAATGAGAGGAAACGTCTGATGGTGGCATTATCCATGAGGAAGCTGAGACACAGCTGGACCCATGTATGGTGGTGGGCAGGCAGAGATAGAGAAAAGAGAGAAAAAGAGAGACAAGGAAAGAAAGAAACACACAGGCAAAGAGAGACAGAGACATGGAGAGAAAGAGAGACCAAAAGAGAAGCAGAACCGGAGAGAGAGACACACAGTTGCTTAAAAAGACAGATGCACACAGAGAAAGACAAAGGAGAAAAGACAAGACAGAGAGAGAGAGAGAGACAGAGAGAGACAGAGAGAGAGACAGAGACAGAGAGACAGAGAGAGACAGAAGAGAGAAAAAGAGAGTGAGAGAGAGAACAGGAGACACAGGGCACCCAGGCTGTTTTCTCAGGGTGTTTTGCTTACTGTCTGTTTTTTTGCCAGTCTGACACAAACTAGGGTCATCTAGGAAGAGGAACCTCAATCAAGAAGATGCCTCCATCAGATTGGCCTGGGGGCAAGTCTGAGGGGCATTTTCTTGATTGATGTGGGATATCCCAGGCCACTGTGGGCTGTGCCGTCTCTGTGCAGCTGGGCCTGGGCCGAGCAAGGCATGGACAGCAGGTCAGTAAGCACTGTTCCATTGTTTCTGCTTCAGTCACCACCTCCAGGTTCCTGCCCTGACTGCCCTCGTGGTGGACTGTTTGCTGTAAGATGAAATAAACCTTTTTATCCTCATATTGCCTTCAGACATGGTGTTTTTATCACAGCAATATAAACCATAACCAAGACATGGGGGTTGGCATGGGGGTGGGGGAGACAGACAGATAGACAGAAAGCCACAGCTAGACCTCAATTTGTTGCCAACTGTAGCAGCCAGCCCACACCGAGCTCCTGCTCTATGTACTAGGCCATGTTCCTGATGGTGGGGTTTCCCTGGGTCCCCACTCTCTGCAGGAAACAGGCTCAGGGAGAACAGCTGCAGACTTGGGGCACCTGGCCTGGGGTCTGAGGACTCTGGCTCACCGGAAGCGCTGTGTCTGATGATGCAGGGGACCAGCGTAGCGCCTGGCAGAGGACTGGTACAGGTGGGTGAGCAGGGCCTGGCCTGTCTTCTGACTTGGGTTGTTTGCAAACTTCACCGTGATAGGCTCAGCAGCACCCAGTGGCTTCTGCCCATTCAGTCCCTTGATGGCCTCTTCTGCCTCGATCCTCTTGTCAAAGCGGATGAATCCCACACCCCGAGAGACACCTGCCAGGGGTGTGAGGGCATCAGTCTCGGGCACTCTGTACCTTCTCATATGGCTCCCCCTCCCTGGCACACCCTTGTCCAATGTACCCTCCCTTCCTGCATTCTGACCTGTGGCCTGGTCCAGCAGGATCCTGGAAGTGATGATTCGGCCATACTGGGAGAAGAGCTGCTCCATCTCCTTCTGGCTCATGGTCTTGGGGAGGCCACTGACATACAGGTTGGCATCCCGGATTGAGGCAGAACTGGGGCGTGCATAGGACACCTGGGCAGGGGTCAGAGGACAGTGAGGGTCATAGAAACTGACAGTGGGGATGCATAGAAACCGACAAGCCTCAGAAACGCACCCCTCCCATACACATACACACACTAGTTCTCTTAACAAGTGGCCTAGGGCTGGGGCCGAGTGGATGGACAGCTTGTCTACTGACAGGCTGGCTCCATCCTCAGCACCACAGAAAAAGGGTACTATGCACCTATCACCCCAGTGCCAGGCAGACAGAGGCAGGAGGATCAGAATTAAAAGTCATCTTCTACTGTATGTTAAGTTCAAGTGTGGCCTGGGCCACATGTTACTCTGTTTCAAAGGGCAAAGCAGGAGCTTGGGGAGATTGCTGTACAGGAAACTCTGACAGCCCGGGTTCGTTCCCCAGAACCAATGGTGGAAGGAGAAAACAATGGCTCCCAAAGGCCATCCTGACCTCCACACTGCTTACACACACGCGCGCGCGCGCGCGCACACACACACACACACACACACACACACACGCACACACACAAATAATAATGAATTTTTTCCTTTGTTTTGGAGACAGGGTTTCTCTGTGTAGCCCTGGCTCTCCTAGAACTCACTCTGTAGACCAGGCTGGCCTCATTTGAACTCAGAGATCCTTCTGCCTCTGCCTCCCAGATGCTGGGTTTAAAGGTGCGTGCCAGCATGCCCAACCAATAATTTTTTTATCTTAAAAAAAAAAAAGCTAAATGGCCCTGTGCATACTGGTGGGTGTCCCTGTGCACACTTGTGGGTGTCCCTGTGCACACTAGGTATCCCTAGCTTCACTGGCATCCAGTGGTGACTTATGGGTCATGCACAGTTCTGGGTGAGAGAGTCTGTCTCAAGAAAAGGGAAAGTTTGGAGAGCCAGGAGGGTGTCACACACCTTTAATCCCGGCTCTGGTGAGGCAGAGGCAAGCGGACTTCTGTGGGCATGAGACCAGCTTTGTCTATCTAGTGAGTTCCAGGACAGCCAGGGTAGTGTAGTTGAGACCTTGCCTCAAACACAACAACACAACCCTAAACCAACAAGGAAAGTCTGGGACAGCAAGAGCTCAGCAGGAAGAGGACCTTTCTGCAGAAGCGGACGACCCGTGTCTGCTCAAGACCCATGTATGACGGGAGCTAGAACACAAAGTTGTTTGTAACAGCTATAGACACAAGGTTGTGCCTGTGGTGTGGGGGTGAGAATCATATCTAACAGACCTGTATAAGGCCAGGACAGCTTGGCCTACATAAAGACCTTGTCTAACATTTTAAGCTCTTTTTTTGGGTTTTTCGAGACAGGGTTTCTCTGTGTAGCTCTGGCTATCCTGGAACTCACTCTGTAGACCAGGCTGGCCTTGAACTCAGAAATCCACCTGCCTCTGCCTCCCAAGTGCTGGGACTAAAGGTGTGGGCCACCACAGCCCGGTGAGACAGTCTTGCTGTATAGACCAGGCTGGCCTCAAACTCACAGACCTGCCTACTTCTGCTTCCTGAGTGCTGGGATTAAAAGCGTGTGCCACCAGTGCTCAGCTCAAAAGTGTTAACTTTTATAAAAAGTCTTATTTTATTTTTGTTTTATGTGCATGAGTGCTTTGCCTTCAGGTATGCTTGTTCACTGTGTTCATGCAGTACCCACAGGGACCAGAAGAGGGCACTAGCTTCCCTGGAACTAGTTATAGACAGTTGTGACCTGCTCTGTGAGTGCTGGGAATCGAACCTGGGTTTCCTGCCAGAGCAGCCAGTGCTCTTAACTGCTAAGCCATTACCTCCAGCCCTGCCCCCACCCCCAAAGTGAAATCAACTTTAAATTACATTTTAGTGCGTGTACACGCCATGCTTAACTGTAGAGGTCCGAGAACAGCTTTGGAAGTTGGTTCTCCAGTTCTACCATATGGGTCCCAGGAATTGAACTCAGATTTCAATCTAGGCAGTGGGCACCTCTCCTGAGCCCAAGTGCTTCTGTTGGTGTGTGTATGTAGTTTGAGGACTGCCCTCTCTCAACCCCAGGGACTTGTGTGCTTGAAAACTGCTCTACCAATTCACTACAGCTCCAACCTCTGAACTCTCTGTCCACAAGGCTTGCATGCAGTAAGGTCACCTCTCAGCTTTCATCCCCCACCCCCACCTTGCTTCTTTCCTTTTACCCTAAATGGACCAGGCAGTCCAGCCTCAGGACCTTTGCACTTGCTGTTTTGAAGTCTCTTCGTGCCAGCCTTGGTGGCTCCTGTCTGTAATACTAACACTCCGCAGGTTTACATGGAATGCTTGCTTGGTCTGCAGAGTGAGTTGAGGCCCAGTCTCTACCCTACCCCATGGAGACACTCTTTCCTCATTTTCTGCCAGTCCACAATCTGAAATGTCCTTCCCACCCCCTCCGATTCTCAGCTTTGTCTTTTTACATTATTTCTAGCGTGTGTGTGCTATCCAAGGTCTATGTGTAGAGGTCACAGGACAACCTGGGATGTCGCTTCTGCCCTTGTATCCTGTGGATCCGTGTGATCAAATCATCAGATTGGGCAGCAAGCTCTCGTCAACCTGCTGGACCTTCTCACTGGCCCCCGCTGACCTTATCTCCAGGTGATTTCTCTGGTTTGTGAGCTCTGTATGCTTCAATACGGCCATTCCATTTGTGCCATCACTAAAGCCACGTCTCACCAATGCCGCAGCTGCTCACAAGTCGGCCAGCTCAGACATTCACAGCACGAGACACTGGGAGTATTGTGAAGTGGGGAAAAGAAAAGTCTGTTTACAGAGTATTGTGGAACCCCAGCTCATTGTGTCTTTATCAATGTCCTGGAGACTCGGTGCAGGGTCCCCGCCCACAAGTGTCAATGGGGTGACCGGCTGTGGGGTGGGAGGGTCCTGAGCGCTCCTCCCCCTCCTTTCTGCTGAAGTCTGCTTTCTGCTGCTTCTATTCAAACCTCTGAACCTGGGGTAGATAGGGACCATTGTTATGGTCTGGCGTTTGTTTGGGGAGGGGCATTGTGGGGCTATATCGTTACAAGTAACTAATTAGGGGCTGCCGAGATGGCTCAGCAGCTGGCAAAGGGGCTTGCCACCAAGCCTGGTGACCTGAGTTTGATCTTTCAGACTCACACGGTGGAAGGAGAACTGACTCTAAAGCTGTCCTCTGGCTCTACCTCCCCCCAAACACACACATCATGCGTAACTGTTATGAAATTGAAATTAAGAATAAAACCCAGAAAACTAGTTAGGATTCAGGCTGTCCCTCAACTGGCAAGAGAGACGCCATCTCCATCTTCCCCAGGAAGGCCGAGTGTGGTAATGGAGGCAGACTGCATCTAGAGTCTCCACTCTGGAGGTGGAAGCAGACACATCCTTATGTGAGTTTCAGACCTGTTTGGTCTACACAGCATGCTCCAGGACGCCAGGGGAGAGCCCGTTTCAAAACAAAAATTCTTTTTACAAAAATAAATAAGTAAATATTATAGCTCAGTGTTTGAGTTTTCTAACTCCACCATGGGACTGTGCAGGCTTTGATTGTTTGTTGCTGTTGTTGAGACAAGGTCTCACTATATAACCTCCAGTGATCTGGAGCGCACTGTGTAGACCAGACTGACATCCATCTCAGAGATCCGCCTGCTCCATCTCCAGAGTGCTGGGATCAGAGGTGTGTGCCACCATGCCTGAGTTGGAATGCTGAGTTTTGGTCTCACTATGTAACCTGGAAGGAACCGCAGCTTTGAGTGATGAAATCATGGGCAAGTGCCACCACACCCAACTAGGGGTGGCATCTTAGGTCTCAGGTCCTGTAAGGCATGGGGTGAATCTATCACCTCATGTCTGTATAGAGCTAGGTACACGATCCCACAGCATATGAGTGACAGAGGACAGCTGCAAGTGTTGGCCCTCACTTCCCCACCTTGGTCTTATTTGTTGTTGTGGACACCCGCACACCTGGCCTGTAGGCTTCCAGAGAGTCTCTTGTTTCCATTTCCTGTCTCCCTGTGGGAGACTACAGATGCCCACAGCCCTGACCCACTGTGCCTGAGTTCTGGGGATTTGAACTTAGGTCCTCAGGCTTTTGCAGCAAGCACCTTACACAGTTCCTCCAAAACAGAAACATTGCATCCTTCAGGGAAGCTCCTTAAGCAGAAGGTAAACACCTCAAAAGAGATTCAGGAAGTCCCTGAAACTGACCAGATTCGCTAGGCCTCTTCTCACAAGAGTAAGCAGTAAAAGCCAAGAGTCCCTTTGAGGCTAGCAGAACAGCTGCAAAGACTCTAAGCCCAAGCTACAAAGGCCAGACTGGCTGCCTGGAAGGAGAAACCAGCTGAGCTGCCTGGAAGAGGTTTAGACCACCCAAGGCACCCAGAAAGGCTGCTCTCTACCCTGTTGGGCTCTCTGTAGGCTGTGCAGTGTGCTCCAGGCTCCCAGCTTTTGTGAGCTGTCGCTATACTGAAGTAGTCTTTGGTGATGCAGCTGAGTCTTTTCTGTTCCTATAACTCCTGTAAGTAACCCCAATAAAAGGCATTGGCTCAACAAGCTGTACTATGGTGGTATCCACACTCTGGGCTGTTGTGGGGACCCTATGTGGAGTTAGTAGATGTGTATATTGCATCGCCTCGGAAACGTTTTGTCACATAATATAATTTGTCTTCTGATCGGGGACTCGACAGAACCAGAGATGAGCTGGGGCGGAGGGAGTGCCTGGCGTGCAGCGGAGGCTGAGAGGGGCAACTGAGGAGGAAAATACTTGGGAGCTGTCTTTTCCTGCGTGGTGTGTGGTAGTGTACCGCTGCTGTGCTATGACAGCAGTTGTGTGCTTCTTGCCATGGGTGGCAAGACATGCCACCAAGGCTGAGCCATCGAATGAGGGACGTCTGTGGGAGGAATCTCAGCATGGCAGTCTTCGCCTATGTGGTACGAGGTGGCGCTGCTTGAAAAGGTAGGGGTACCACGTGAAGACGGAGATGCCCTGAAAACAGTTAAAAGTTTAAAGATTTTACAGTCTTTAAGATTAGTGCAGCAGAGGTGGCCTGG